TTTATGCAAAACTTTTGAAACTGCGATCTCTATAAGAATTTATTTTACCCTCTGAAACTAGTTACATGTAATTAATTTTTAATATCCTCTTGGGATGCATTGATGCATAATATGCATTTTGACAATCTATAAAAGGAATAATCCAGCTGATACGAGATTAAGAAGAGCTCGACGAAGGAGTCCGATGTATGCACGCTTGTAGCATGTGCCGAGCGCCGAGTTATTTGCTTAATTCACCGCTTATACGTCCGTTTACACGGTTCTAAAGTTAGCGGCACCAACGAACGCCGCCGCGGTTTTGCATTACTCATTTGCCTCTAGCAGCGGGCTCAATGCCGTGCCGGATTAAACCGAAGACTCGGTCTCACCATTCGGAGGACCCACGCGTCCGCGCCTATGCACGGTTTACAGTGTCATACACGTGACGAGGAGATTCTTATCAAAACATATTATAAGAAACGTTCTATTCACTTCTTCATGTTCTATTATAATATTTCTAGCAAATCTCGTATGACATGAAACGTCGTATCGATCATTCCATTAAAAATCTATTAATTCTTATTAGAATATTTATGGCATGTTGTGAGAATTAAATGAAAATATGCAAAAAAAAGGACAAGGATTGCAATGCATTTTAATGCAACTGCATAAAATCGCTTTTGATATTTTGTGAAAACTCGGGGAAACGGTGTCATTTTTAACAGGATTTATCAGACACCGGTCGCGTTGGCGTTATCTCACCGCGTTAGATTACTCGCGGACACGTTTAGATATACGCCACGCGGAGCGCACCGAAAATAGTAACAAAGTGCAGGGCGAAGCTAGAACAGAAACGCTCGTTAACTCCGATAAGCTATCGAAAATATCGCGAAAACGCGCGTTCCGTTCAACGGGAGCATATAGAAAACTGTATTTTACACAGTTCCGTTACATAAACGTGTTATCATTGATTGCTACGTGAAATTAGCTTTCCTTTTCGTATTTATATTCATGCCACGGACTCACGTTATCGCCTGTAATTATTTAAACGTTTCCAGAAATAGATCGAAACTGTTTACAGATAAATTTTTATGCATTCTGCATTTCCTAGCGTTCGATAACAAACTATTAATAACGTGTCAAAATTGTCGATTTGTCGTAAGGAAACGGCGTTTGGAAAGCTACTTCGTCTGTTCGGAATAAATTAACGAAACTGGAAGGCGAGCTGAACATCATCGATCTCGTTAGAAGTTCCAAGGCTCGAAGCTTTTAATCCGCGTCCGTTAATGGACGTCTTTTGCAAAATCTCTGATTCCTTGCCAAATCCGTTCGGAAGGAAATGAAACGTGAATCGCTCGTTTGACAAATGGACTTCCTACAAATTGGATGAAACGAGATTCCTCGCAGAAAACAATAATTTAATTGTGTGTATAAATCTGGATTTCAGAAACTCTAATATACATTTGTGTGTTTCGATCACGTTAAAAAACGAGAGGAGTCCCAATAAAACGCGATGCGGCGGAGTTTATCGTTCCGCCGAATCGGGCGTGCAATCTGTTTCCCCGAAACGCGAGGCAGTAAAACAATTTTATTTGTGGGTTACTATAACGCGATACAGTCGAGTTTTCTTCAAGTTCCCGCGGCTGGAACGCAGTGCGCTGCAGCGAAACGGTTTATTACCGTTTTCAAGGCCCGCGACGCTTCTCGGAACATAAATATTCATCCTCCTCCGTGGTCCGTGGATAATTTCACAATATCGCGTTGAAAAGTTAATAATTATCGCGGACGTATAACGATTCCGTGCTACCATGATTGGATAAGAGAACAATACACTGATTTGCAAGCCATTCTTTTGCTTCTCTTTCACGATATTTTTCAAATTTTCTTTATTTTATGTCCATTGTGTATAAAATACCGTTCACTGTAATGTATAATAATAATTATTTATCAAAGTGAACAGAATTTAAATTTAGAATTTTTTAATTGATATCACAGATGTTTTATTTTACATGAAACTCTGCAATTGCTAAATTGTCAGAGAATTGTCAAAACACAAAGCACAAATTTTTTTAAAAGCAAACTATTATTATTTAAGGTGCACATGAATATTAATTTAGATTTTTTTTAATTGATATCACAAATGTTTTATTTTACATGGAAGCCTGCAGTGAATTTGTAATTTCTGAAAAACCCCATCAATCACGAAGCTGTCATAGCGAGAAGCAAATAATTTGTTTTTTGAACAGCACAGAACTTACCCCAGGTCCAAATTTTCATCCATCACGTGGAATTACGACTGGTGCCACGCCTGTAACAACCCTTTCATGCCTCCTGATGCAGAATGATTCGCAATAACACGTCTCCGGGACGATCGTGCGGAACAAGGAAAAGAACCCTCGAGCGTTTTTGTCGAGACTCGTGAACGGTCGATACTCATACTCGGCACACATGATCATTCCCAATTCCATATTTTATGATGTTTTCCGCTCGTAAATATCTCCTCGACTGCCTCTAGTTACGTTAGATCAATTGAATTTTCTTTACTTTTAATCAAGTTATTCATATGATTTTATTTCGAGTTTGCATTTATCTGAATAATCGTTGCATTAATACTGACCAGTTGTAAATTTATTATAAGTTCATATCTAGGGCAAAGTTCAATTTGCATTTTTGAGTGATGGAAGAGAAATGAAATAAAAAGAATTACTTCCTATAACTTAAAGACGAACACGTTCTAAATATTCAGAAACCAAAGTATTTAACTCGCTATTGGCGTAGGTAGGTCAGCCTGGTTTCTCTCTCTTTCGCCTTGTCTCGTATTATGCATCCCTTGACTACTTTGAATAATTTATTCACCTCCGAGCAGTCTGTGATCAGAAATGGTTCGTTCGAAAATTAGTTTACTTTTATTTCAATTTATCAATAATTCATCTTTCACTCTTTATGTAACAAGTTTTTAAAAATGGTTAATGTAAAAAATTGTAGATTTGTTGATCGATTTCAAATTCTAATAAAATTATATTATTAATTCAACCCTTAAATTCTACTTGATTAAAATTAATATTTCCTCGAAATAAATTTGGGTTTTGGTTCGTGTGCATGAACCTTTCGATAGAGCTGTGTGCAGCCCGGGTTTCGAGCGTTGCACCAGCGTGTTTGCGCCTGGTCAAGGTGCCCGACACTGCCGGTATAATATACCCACCGTCGGACTTGGCCTTGCAGCTCTATGTACTATCGCATCCTCGTCCCTCGCCCCCTTTGATACAGTTAAAGCAGCGTTCACAACTCTCGGGTTCCTTGATCGCAGTTCCGATTCATCGTACATACACGTAGTATAGACCCTTGACCTTCTGTCAGTTCCGCGAGAAGTTGGCACGGTTATAGAACATTGCCCGGTGTTAATAAATGTCATACTTTTGTTCGCACAAACTTCTTCTCTTACATTGAAAACAGTCTGTGGAATTTTATCAATTTTTAATTCTACAACAGGGGTTGAAAAGTAGCTTTTAAAGGGATGTTTAAATGTAGCATAAATTCAATGGAATTATAATGATTCTTTTAAGAATTTATAAATGATGAACTAAAAAATATTTGATACATCTAAATAATTTGTCAATGATTTCGTTGATTTTCAAATACAGAGGCTAATTACGTCTGCTCTAATCTTAACGCGTCTCGGTGATCATGCTATTTCGAGACTGCGAGAGTACAATAAAAAGCTCGTTGCACTGGGTCAATAGCTCGAACCTAAATGATCATGCATCTATTAGGCATTCATCGGTGGCGAATTTCCACGAAAAATATACATAGTTATCCACGAGGTCGTGAGTCTACTTCTATTTCGAGTGTTAGGGTCGCCGATTGCGAGCTCGTTTATTAAGCCCCGTTGCACTGCCGCTTTAATTACGCAACCGAGAACGAAGGCCAAACGTGTCATCAAAGAACAGGATCTTGTTTTAAACAATTATGGAAATTAATCTGGCGTTAATAAATTAGGAAATAATATAAAATAGTTTTATTTCACGGATTTGCATTCTAAGCCACTAAAAATTGTATCCAAATAATAATCTAATATTAATTAGAGACAATTCTGAAAACACATTGCTTG